TTCACGGCTTCTATTGTGGTCCTGAGCTCATCTATTTTCCTCTCAGTTTCTGTTCTAGACTCTCGAATTATAACTTTCATTTTGCTCGTCATCTCTATGATGATCTGGGAAATTACTTCTGTTTTAAATTTCTCCAGAGCCTGATTGATCAGCTTTGTTACTTCCTGTGCTTTGAGGTCACGGTGTCCTGATGATTCACTGTCAGACTTTTCATCCTCATCTGCCCCACTGTTTGCCATTGGTGAACTGGAAGTCTGTCCCTGTATGTTGCTTAAGCATTTTCTCATTTTTACTGCTGTTGTTGGGTTGTCCTTAGTTTAACCTTTAGGTTATTACTTAAATCTTCCTGATATAGTTGGGCTTCAGCCCATAGGTCTGTAATGACTCATAGACATCCTCATTTTCATAATACCGAAGAAAACGGCTCATTGAACCAATCACAATCCTTTATCCTAATTGATACAATCAGCACCACAATATGATCAAGCACAATTTGCACACTGACCACTTGTGGTAGTCATCAGTCTATCACCTTTAAACCATGTGAATTAAATTAAAATCAAGAAGCAATCCAAAATATGTTTGCAGTGAATAAACTTTTCAGTAAGGGTATTTACCATTTAGAATGGGGGCTTAAGACAGAGTTAAGACCAGAGGAGTAGGTAAGTAAAAGAATTAGAGAAGGTTTCATATGAAGCCAGAAGACGAAGAATGACCAGACAGTCGTCAGGAAACTGTTACATTCAAAAGGGACAAACAAAATAGAAGTATGATAACCCTTGAGTGAGGTAGAATGACATAAGAAAAGAACATAAAGAAAAGAGAAAAAATAATAACAGAAGAAATCTGAGTTAGGACAGGAGTAGAAACAGAAAAGGACATAAGGGATAATATAGTGGAGTAAGAGACTGATTTGGAGAAAGAGGACAGAAGAAAAAAAAAAGAATTTGCAGAGTGGAATGAACAGAAAGAAAGAAATGAATTTGAAGGGCCTCTTTCAGACTGTATCACTGCTGTCATAATACACAGCATGCGCTGCCGTGGGCAAAGCCAAGTCCCCTGATCTCAGTTAGCTGGTGGCAGATCCCCACGATGCAGACTTACCTCGGGCTGCAAGGCCCAGACTGAGTTCCCTATCTCTTGAAGAGTTGAACTCCACTCAAGTTCTACTACAGGTTTCCCCCACCCCTTCTTTAAAGATGTTCAGAGTTGGAAGCACCGGAAAATACCCTTTCTGACCACCTCTGCCTCTACAGAGTGGGTCTAAAGACTGGCACAATCAGGAGTTCTGAAAGCCGAGGAGGGGAGGTTGGGGGGTTTCAGGAATACGCGTGGTTACCTTTCTGGTGCTGAAGAAGGCAGCGGTGATGCCGGCAGGGGACGGCACGGCCCAGCAGGCCCTCTGGTGATGGAGATGGCCAGGCACCAGCAGGGGAGGGTGAGGCCAAGCAGGCCCTCTGGCGATGGAGATGGTGGGGAGGGGGCGTCGGAGCAGGCCCTCTGGCTCTGGAGATGGCGGGCGCCAGCAGGGGAGGGCGTGGCCAAGCAGGAACCCCTGGCCCTGGAGATGGTGGGGCGCCGCCATCAGCAGAGGGCGCCCTTCCCAGGGAATTTCAAGAGAGCTCCTGCTCTCCGAGTTGGTCTCGGGATCCCAGGTAAGGAACTTGATCGGACAGAGCACTCCTATGTCCGGATCAGGAAAACCAACTCTGCTCCGGGTTTGGGGCCTGACAGGCAACCAAGGCACACCAAAGACTGGGCTTCTGAGGATAACCCGGGACTTGTTCTTCGTACTGGCGAGCTGTGTCCCCGAGGAGGTGTTCTGGCAAGTGTGCAGGGTGTTGGGCTTACATTCATCTGTAACGCATTTCATCTGTGGGGGAGCCATCACCAAAGCTTGTGTGCAACACCAGTGCCTGGTACACAAGTGGGTGTCGGAGCAGCGTTTCCATGACTGCAGTTATCTTGGGAGGCTCTCAAACGAAGCAAGACAGATGCAAGTCCCAGAGTTTGGGGCCAAAGTCAATGGTGCCCACCCCAGATCCTTTCTACGGCAGTCCACGAGGCGTTGAAAGAAGAGGATGGGCCAGGGATTTAGCTCAGTGGTTCACCACCTGCCTTGCAAGCGCAAGATTCCGAGTTCGATCCCCGGTTTAAAAAAGAAAGAAAGAAAGAAAGAAAGAAAGAAAGAAAGAAAGAAAGAAAGAAAGAAAGAAAGAAAGAAAGAAAGAAATACTCTGTGCCTAAGATGCGGCTGACGGTGGTGTTGGGGCAAGTGCCGGTGTTAGTGCCAGTTCCAGTGGCAGGGCCTATGCCACGGTAAAGCAGGCATCAGCACCAGCACTGATCCGGGTGCCATTGCTCAGGGCTAGAGCCACGGCCGGAGCAGTGATCAGTGCTGCGCCAGTGCCAGCGCTGGTTGCAAACTCAAGCCAGTTTCAGGGGCTTCTTCTGACGCCCGGCAAGGCCAAGGCTGAGTCTTCATTTCGTTTGGTTGTGGGTTGGTGAGGGGTCCTGGAGCAGTGGGCACTGGGGCTCTGATTCATGAGGAGTCCAGAGGTAGCGTAGGCTGAGAGAGAGAGAGAGAGAGAGAGAGAGAGAGAGAGAGCAAAACTACCTGTGGCACTTGTGTTTCATGGCGATTGGCCTCTTAATGTGTCCACTGCAAAGTTGATTTTACTTTAGTTAACTTACTATTATTGATAAATAATTGATAGCATCACAAGGGCTAAAGTTCAATGATAAAGGACTGAGAATGTAGCTCTGAGGTAGTGTGCTTTCCACGCGTGGGCGAGGTGCTAGATTCAGCCCCAGTACCGCAAAAACCAAAACCCAGAAGACAGAAACAAAACAAACACCTACACGATACCAGTGTTATATCAAAGTTGAAACAAAAGCCGTACTTAACTATTCCTTCAAAATCCTCGGTTTCCTAGACATTTGATTAACTGTTTAATTTGAGCATCTGTGCTTAGGAGTGACATCAGTGAAATAGTTTCTTGTTCTTTGCTTCAGTTTTAGGAGAGATTTCCTGTTTCATAAAAAAAATTGGGATACGCTATCAGCTCATGTCTGGAACACGTTAGAGTATTGGAATAAGCTGTTCTTTAAAGTTTGACGGAATTTACAGTGCGGTGAACTCCCCGTCGCACTATCAGAAGATGAAGAAGCCAGTCAGCGTCTGAGTATGCAAGCCAACGGACATTTACTTGTACTCGCTGAATTCTCTGGAATGCAGGGAGAAATGAAAAATGATGAATTGGACACCTTGCTCATGGACTCATTTATTCCATGCACATTTACTGACCACCTACTCAATTGCGAGGCTCCGTGATGGGCACTGGAGGTCCAAGAATACACCACACTCAGCCTCTGCCCCGCATCTGAGGGTCTTGAGGGGGCTCTCATGTAAGTAGAGCCGCCAGTGGTAGAAGTTTGGTGTGTATTAAGCGCTAGGATGAGGAGGTGAACCACACAGTAAGAGATCCTGGAGAAGAGGCATCTAACCCTGGGCGGTGGGCACTTGGGAGTCAGGAAGCTTCCTTGTCGTGAGGGCGGTGTCACCCTAGATCAGAAGCACTAGAGGCCTCCAGGCAGCAGGTTACTGCGTGCACCTGGCAGACTCCATACGCTTGCCTGGTGCCAGAAGATTAGAATTTGAGGAAGAGGGAGAGAAGAGCTGATAGTGAGGACGGGCGCAGGAGCCAGGATCCTCAGTTGGTGGCCTTTAGGGCTGAGAGAAAACCTGCAGTGGAATAGGAGTCTTTGGAGAGCAGCTGCTCTTGGCTCCTAGATGAGCCAGAGAGAAGACTCCATGTACCTCTGGCGGTTCTGGAAACTGACCCTGGCCTGGGTCCCTGTGCAGGCTCTACAGGGCACACACCAGGGTGCTTTTCATTCCTCATCTCTAAGGAGTGCTGGCTCTAAGGAGTGTCTGTTCACCAGAGCTGATTCCCAGAAACCACTGAGGGGAGACGTTCTCCCCAACAGGCTGGGAGAGGTTGAGCTCAGTGTGCTAGGAAGGCAGTGGTATGATTACAGTCAGGTTTTCACAAAGCAAAGCCCTGGGAGTTACAAAGTATAAGCGATCCTGTTTATGTTGCAGGAAATCTGTTAGTAGGGCGGGGAGAGAAGTCTGTGCTAGCCTGCCCTGGAGCCAAGAAGGTCTTTGATTGCCAGACAGAGGAGCCCAAAGCCACTGTGGTTCTCTAGGACAAGAGGAGACTTTTTTTTCTTTTTTCTTTTTTTTTTTTTTTTTTTTAGGAGTGAGGGGACTGATGGAAGCATGACCTTGCCAAAATTACAGTGGCAGACAGTGGCAGGGCTTTTGCTTTTTCACGGAGCAATATTTTCCATGCCTCAGAATGGGCTCTGCTGGGTACAATGATCATCAAATTGGTCTAAGATTAACTTTTGTCACTGGGAATTGATATGAAAGTTTTACATATTTTGTTGTAGGCCTGGAGGAGTGTTTGGCCCTTGTTCACGAACACCAGCTCCCACTTCAGTAAGAAAACAAATCAAAGTGGTGTGATGGGGCGCCTGTCGGGGCCATGCCCACATTACAGTCCTTGTGAAGCGACCACCCATGGCAAGGTGATCCTTGGGGTTTCAGCTTCCAATCGGACCTCCTCCTCATCACTAGTTTGAGGGACAGCTGTGCCCCACAACCCTGTGTGGACTTGTCCCGGGAATAAGATGTTGCAGGTCTTTCACTGTTAGTTGTTGAGCTCCAGTGCAACTGATCATTTCAAATTGAGCAACGCTTTTTCGTTTCATAACGATGTCAGTTGTTAAACCTTGACATCTCCATTAAAACATGAATTGCAGTTGTAACAATGCAAAATCAGCAGTTGCATTTGGACTTATATGAAACAATTTTTTGAATGAAACTGAAGAAAAAAGAAGGAAAAAGGAGAGGACGTTGCAGGTCCTATCAAGGCCACCCCAGCCAGGCCAGAAGACATCTCTCTCCACGTGAAAAGGAGCAATGTGCGGCTGCAGACAAGGCAGCCCGGTGGAGGGTCCTGGTCCCGAGGAAGGAAAGGGGTGCCGGGAGCACAGGCCGTCGGGTCCGTTCACAGGACACACGGGGTCTCGCGGGGCACGCCCCCCGCCTCCCCTAGGGGAGCTCCACACAGGCTTGCTGGGCAATGAAAGCTGGGGAAGACAGCACACGGGGAAGACACGTGCTATTGCGTCTTCATTCCTGCACGCAAGTGCCCCGTGAGGGTCAGAGGTGCCAGCTGGGGGCAATCCACCGGTGCCGGCGTGGAATCCAGGGAACGCACTCCCCTCCCCCACCCCGAGGAGGAGCACGCAGCACTGCCTCAAGGAGGAGGGTGCTCAGGCTGACAGGGCTGAGGAAGATGCTAGCTCCCTCCTTCCACGGTCCCAGCACCACCGAGGCGGACACCCACGCGCCCCTGCCGCCGAAGCACCCGGGCCCAGTGACGCAGAGGACAGTGGCAGCCGACACGAGGAAGGAAAAACAGTCCAACGTGCCAGCATGTATCTGAGCCCCAGCGACTGAGATGCTGGGAAAGCAGGGCCTCGGCGCAGTCCCGTTCGTGGCTCCGTTTCCATGGCTTCTGCGGTCTCCGTTTCAGAGCGCCCGGTACCCTCTGCTGGGAAGGAAAGCAGAGTGACAAGTGTGGAATCTCGGGAGCCCCGGGAGCGGAGGCTCTCTTGGGGGGACCCCAGGCGGGGCATCTGGGCGCGGCTGTGGGCAATGAGGGTGGCAGAGGCTGGCCCCGAGCTCTCACCTGAAGAACTTGGTCACACATGCCAGCACTCTCTGGATGCGGCTCCTCCTAGATCTTTGAAGACCCGCAAGCTCCCTGGGCCAGCCCGGGCCCCGGGGCGTGTTCTCCATGGTGCCCATGGTGTCCGACGAAACACGCTCCTGACCACCTTTTCCACGGTCTTCGACTTTCTGCAAGATAGAGCCAGAGACCCCATCCTAACGTTTCCCGATACCGCTGGCCTCCGTGACCTCACTCAGCGTCTGTGAACTTTGCGCCAGGGCCGGGGAAAATAGCGGTGACCTGAGCAGTCCAGACCCCGGCCCCTTGAAGGGCATTCCAGATCATGGAGGAAAGTCTGACTTACCCAGTCAGCAGGTGGGAGGGAAGGCGTGAAGATCATGCAGCCAGGAGCGTGCGACGGGCCGGGAGGGCTCCAAGAGACCTCCTTGCAGAGTCCTGTTCAGCTGCTCACTCTGCTGGGTGCCAAGTGGCCCGGGCCGGCCGCCACCCCCTTGCTACCTCCGGACCCTCAGTTCCTGTTCCGTCTGCTCTATCTTTCCTCCCTCCCCTGGCCCAGTACACTGTGCTAGAGCACTGGATACATTTCTAGCATGGATACATTCCCTTCCTCTCCTGAGTCCCTTACTCCCACCTCTGCAATCGTTCCCTTTCCTTTCTTTATTCCCTCTGGCCAGCTCAGCAGGCTCAAGACAGCTTTCTGCTTGTGGAGTGCAAAATGCTGAGGTACGCAGGCAGATGGTGAGTTCTCATTTATTTCGGATGCCACGGACTGGGGCATTCATGTGATCCTCTCCACTATTTCTCCCATGTTTGATTCGCAGAATGATGCCCATCAAATTCCTCCGGTGGTCTATGCACCAACTGGGTCATGAAAGCAAGGATGGGTGAAGTGGGTGATAGCATGCCGGTTCCATGCTGACGGCAGAGTCCTGTGTCTCACATGTTTATGGGGGGTGCCTTGTCTGTGCGTCAGTCACCCTCGGGTGCATGGCGAATAGATGTTTCGTGGCTGGAGGGCTTGAAAAATGTAAGGGAGGATGGAAGGGCCTGGGCTGGGCTACAGTTGAAAGCAAAACAGCTCCTTGTAGCTCAGTCGCATTTTTGATGCCTCGGTTTCAGGCCATGCCGCCAATTTATGCCCACTGTTTGCCAATCATGGAATTGGAGGCTCTGCACCACTGATTTCAAGACAACTACTTGAAAAAGTACCCTGGAGGGAAACAGGAAGCAGGTGACTTCACAGTCTTTCACTTGATTTTTTTTTTAACATAACGGTGCTCTTTGGGAAAGCATCTGTCACATAAAGCTGAAGATACAAGGCTGGTCTTTTCTGTCGGCCTCTCTTGGGCCATGTCCGGATCGAGACACAGTTGTGGCTTCAAGCCACTCCGCAGTGGAGAAGTAAAACAAATCACGAATACAGCAGAGAGCTATGCCATGGCGGGAAGTTTACATGGCAATGGGTGGGGGCGGTTGGAGAGGTGGCAGCTTCTCAGTCCTGGGAGTTCAGATAGTGTCAGTGACTAGTGTCTGAAATGAGTGCCGAAAGAAGTTGGCTGAGGAATATGCCAAAGGGAGAGAATCACACATAGAACCCCAACAGTACCGTGAGGGTTTCAGCTGACGATAAGTTGATTGAGTTTTCTGTCCCCGGTGTTAGTATAAGTCCAGGTCAGTCATGAGGTTCTGATACACAAGTAGAAAACTGAGCCTCACAGGGACTCTGAACCCTGGTGTTTAAGAAGCAAACGCTTGTTTTGCAAGGTTGGGATGACAGTCCAGGGAGCCTTATTTTCCCATCCTGATTTGTGTTTTCTGTTACCTGATTTAAGATATCTTTTTTTTTAATTGAGTTTATTGGTACATTTTAGGTATACAGTACAGTTGCATTCGTTATTGGGATCTTGTACCTTTACGTGAACAGGTCTTGGTTCTCTTGTCCCTGCCCTCCCTTCACACCCCCATCCCCTCCCCATTTACAAACACTTTGCTTCCATTTTTTTCATTTTCTCATATTTTCTTCTTTTCCCTTATGAACTTTCCCCTGCCCTTCCCACTTTCCCTACACCTTTAGCCCTTTTCTTCCCATTTCACATTGTCAATTATCTCATTGGGATCTTATGTGCTAGTACAGATTTTCACACCAGAGAATTTAAGATATCTTTGCCCAGCCTCAGGACACAAAGAATTTCTCCTCTGGTATCATAGCTTTAGCATTTTGCAACTCAAGTTTGGATCTATGATTTGTTTGAGTTAAGGTTTGCATGGAGTCGGAGGTATTGAGGCTTATTTGCCTTTCTCCCTCAGGAGACCCACTTTTCCCAGCATGTTAGCTAACATACTCATGGCAAGTCCTTTGTCAACAGTCGACTTAGCACACATATCGCAGGTCTAGTGCTGGCTGGGCTTTTCCTTTGAGCCGTTGACCCATATGTCTTGTCCTAAGACATTACCATGCTGTCGAGATTGCTGTCCCTTTATATTATAAGCGGTACCTTGGAAATGGAAGTCCTCCCTCTTTGTCCTCTTCCAGGTAGCTTTGGCTACTGTACCATGTCCGTCCTATGTGTCTCAGTAGCAGCTCGGGAAATACAGCCAGAAAGAAAGATATATGCGACTCAGTGGTACGAATACGGATGGCTCTGGGGACCATAACGATAAGTTAATAAATCAGACACAGAAGGTTAACTATCCTGTGATATGTCTCATTTGAGAAATCCAAACTATGAATAATCTAAAGAGCAAAATAAAAGTGAGATAGTAGGACACAGGGGGGCAGATGCTTTGGAAACGGGGAAAGGAAAGTGGGAAGGCGGCAGGGAGAAGGGTTGGAGGGAGGCATCAAAAAGGATCAAGAGTTCACCAAAATGAATGTAGTTATTATGTGCTGCAAACATGCACTAATAAGAAATTGTGAAAAGGGAAGCACGATGACGGTGAAGCTGTAGTTCAATTACTAGAAAACTGACATCTTGAAATTTGTGGCTCTTCTGATCAATGCATATAGTGAGTTTCCCTTTATTCGGGTCCTTAATTTGTCACAGCAATATTTCATCATTTTTCTCCCAAAGGGCCTTTCATATATTATGGTTTTTTTTTTTTCTTTTGGTTTTGTGAGACAGGGTCTCACGATGTAGTTCAGACTGCTCTGGAACTCACTGTGTAGCCCAGGCTGGTCTCGAACTCACAGCGATCCTCCTGCCTCAGCCTCCCGAGTGCTGGGATTACAGGCGTGCGCCACCACGCCTGGCTCTTTCACATATTAGGCCTAAAATTCTTTTCAGATAGACTTCTAGGACAATTTTCATCCCTAATGATTTGTTCTTAGTATAGTGAAACAGTGGTTTTTTTTTTTTTTCCTTTTTGATTTTGTCATGTAGATTATCTAAATCCCACGATCCGGCAAAAGTCATTTATGACACCTAGAAAATGATTTTCCCCGGAGTACATGATATTTTCTTTGTAAATATGCCAACGAAGACAGTCTTTTACCTCTCCCCTGTCAATCTGTATGCGTTTTATTTGTTTTTCTTGCCTCCTTGCACTAGCTAGGGCCTCAAGCGTCACGTTGTGTACATATGGTGAGAGTCTATATCCAGAGACATTCTGCCATCTTCCTAGTGTGAGGACAGATGCCTTCAGTTTTTCGACATTGCATCTGATGCCAGCAGCAGGGTCTTTGTAGAAGTACTTTAACAGATTGAGGATGTTCCCTCATCTGGCTAAGTTATCCCATCTTTTCTTTAAGCAATCATGTTTTGTATTATTAAAAGACCTGTCTCACCCGTCTTGATAATATGGTAATTTCCCCTTAGTCCGTTATGATGGTGAGGCTCATTGGTGGACCTTTAACAAGTAAAATGACCTCGTACTCCTCGGATAAACTGTGCTTTGTAAAGCATTATATTTTCCATAAATAGTTGGATTCAAATGGCTAAAATTTCACTAGAGAGGTGCGCATCTCTGTTCATTCGAAATATTCATCTGCAGTACTTTTGTGTTCTGTGTCTTCTATTGTGTTTATAGACATAATACTGACCCTGGAAGATGAATTGGGAAGAGCTCTCTCTTTCAGTGTTCTGGAAAAACTTTTCACCAGACGGTTACTGTTTTTCTTCACGTATTTGATACTGTTCAAGAGCAAAGCCATGCTGGATGCAGTGGCACACACCTGTAATCCTAGCACTCAGGGGGCTGAGCTGGGAGGTTCTGCATGAGTTCTTCAAGGCTAGCCTGGGCGAATACTGAGGTCCTGCCTCAAAAAAACAAACAAACAAACAAACAAAAACCAAACAAACAAACAAACAAAAAACCAACAACAACAAAAAAATAAAAGACACTAAAACCCCCAAAAGTCAAAAGTGCAACTATAGTTGCACTTAAGATCCCACTGACATAATTGACAATGTGAAATAGGAAGAAAAGGGCTAAAGGTGTAGGGGAAGTGGGAAGGGTAGGGGAAAGGAAATAAGGGAAAAGAAAAAAATATGAGAAAATGAAAAAAGGGAAATGAAGTGTTTGTAAAGGGGGAGGGTAGGGGGGGTGAAGGGAGGGCAGGGACAAGGGGGAAAGATGAGAACCAAGACCAGTCATGTAAAGGTACAAGACCCCAATGATGAATGTAACTGCACTGTATACCTGAAATGTACCAATAAACTCCATGAGGGGAAAAAAAGCCAACCGAAAACAAAACAAAACGAAACAAAACTCAAAAACCTGTAATACCATCTGGACTCAGATTTTCTTTGTGGGAATATTTTGAGTTAAAATCTCAAGCTGTAGAAATCTTTTAATCACCGGCTGCTTTATGTTAATGAAGTCTTTACTGATAATCATCATTGAATCACGAGTAATTCCTGGAAGAGTATGATTTTTGTTTCAAAAAATATGCAGTGCCCACATATCTTCTTTGGTGAAAGAGTCTCCCATCAGTATTTTTCCGTCGGACGGCAGATACCCAGATACGGTGTCCCTAGACCCTGTCCTGGGTCTGCGGTCCCCTGGAAGTTTTTCTTGTAACTGGGGGTCCTCCGCTGCTTTCTATGGCTTCCTGTTGGACATCCAAACAATCTCCTGTTTTCCGTCTGAGCTCTGAGTCAGGCAAGACAGACACCATTGCCTAGGGCCACCCACTGACAGGCTAGAGTCTTGCAAACCAGCAAAGTGAAGGAAGCAGCCACTGTGACTTCCTCCGAACAGCTCCAAGCCGTGCAGGGCAGAGAAGAGTGCAGGGTGTATGAACTTCCATGCAATTTCATCCCATTTGGAAAGCGGTTCCTCTTTGAACTGACATTCGGTTGGGTGGTGCACAGCTTTGGTCCGATAAAGTTATTTGAGCCTCTCTTAGGTTTTGTTTTTTTTTAACGTTCCCAAGGGGTGACAAGAGCGTGGTGCTTCCTAGTGTGCCTCTTTACTGACATCACTCATGATTGCACATTTAATTTTTAGTACACCTTGACCCCTATAGACAGTCTGC